TCAACATACAACTGAGAATAATTGTCTTTTTCCATGCAAAAAAACAAACCACAAATGAAATCTACTCTCTGAAGCAGATCATTGTATTCAGATGCATTCCTGTGAAAATAGAGAGCGTGTGTTCGTGGAATGGTCAGTGTGTCGAGAGGTCACAGTTCCAGGTGTTACTAAGAATACCAGAGTAATAACATTGTTCTCGATTGTAATGGTCTAATGGTTCTTATTTATGTAAGAAGAGAAACATCAGTTGAAACAAAAAATACCATCACCTCGGTGACTGCGTGCAGGACAGCAGTCTCTGGAGGTAAACAGTGTTCCTTCCTGAGTGTGAGCCGAAGTCGACCAGACTATACAGAGTGTTAATTGTCTGTGACGCAGTCTTTAAAGTTTGACCCCTGTAGAAGCACTTACACTCCAGCTGTTACTTTTACAGCTCACGGCTTCGGTTCGCCGTGCAAGTGTAAGAGCATGAGTGCAAGCATTCATGGGTAACAACGTTCGAGAGAGGGTGGACGGGAGACGAGAAGTTAGGGAAAAAGAAGGGTGCCATTGAGTCAGTGTGGTCTAACTGCCCAAACCCACACACAGCTTCTTTCATACCGTGTGTGCCTACGAGGCCTATGCTTCGTTCTGTATGCACACAAATCACACACAGCGGAGAAGTGGAAACGCTCCTGCGTTATGTTTGTAGTTCAAGTAGAAATCCTGTCATTTAAACACTCACAGCTGTGCTTCAGGGACACTGGATGTTCTTACGCTAGTAAAGCAAAAAACATTGTTGTCAAAAGTTGTCACGGTGTCAATCGACTGGGGGATATTAGTGTGTCCTAGTTCCTTACTAATACAGACTGGTTGTAAACAAAATGGAGTCTGTATATTAGGTGTAGCTTTTGCAACTTATGTTCAAAATGTCATTACTAGTGTTATGCAACATGGACAGGCTCCTTACAAGACGTTGCTATGCATACCATGCATTGTGGGAGATGAGGATTAAATGAGTATTTTATTACTACACCTGTGGTTAGTACCTTTACTGCTCAAAGAAAGATCAGGGTTGTGGTCTAAAAAGAGACGATGACCCCAGGACCCCAGGACTAAAAGTTCTTGTAACTCCATGGTAACGTCTGCCCTGTTTTGACCTGCTTGAATTCAGTTGTGCTAATTTGATTTTCTTTCCCTTCTAATATGATTGGATGTACCACAGTGCTTGTAATTGTAATCTAATTAGCTTCCACCTCTTCTTGGTACTGCCCTGCACTCACCATCGTCCCTACCCATGATGCTGACAGGTTTATTTTAAACTTTAGTTTTCCTATATTTCTGTGAGCACGTCTGAGTCCCTCGACTATGAATGTGATCACATGTTGATTCAAGCTGGAACAATTCTTTACTTTCATTTCTTTTTCTTCTGGCTGTCTTTAAAAACATCTCCGTGGTCATTGGCTGTTATTAAATGTCGTCCTTGGACTTGACTTGACAAAGCATGGTTCAAAGGAAGACGCACTGCTGACATATGACATCAATTAACAGTTGGCAGAGAAGTCAGAGATCTGCGTCTAAAAAAAAAGTAGCCAATGAGGGCTTGTGTCTTTTGGTGCAGGCTCTGACAGGTTCGACTGTGACTGCATTTGTTTTAGAAAAGGGAAAGCAGTACTGACTCCTAAGATGGAACAGGACTAAATCTGATGTTTCACATTTCCAGGAAAAATATATCACCAATGACACTTTTTTTTAGTACATTAGTAACAGGAGTATTTCTTTCACTCTATTTGTACAGTACTCTCAGCGTCTGGTGTTCAAACTTGGTCTTTTCAAACAGTTTCTCTTCTAAAGTTGTTTTGGAAAATTAGATTAGAAGTCAAGTTTCACAGTCACTGCTATTTGCTGAAAACCCATGTTGGCGTTTGAAGTCAAAGACAGGCATGTGGAGTATTAAGACGAGAAATATACAGTATCAAAGCTGTGTTCCTCAACAAGGAATATAAAAATATAACCAATTTCCACAGGGCAGCATTATTTAATGTTTTTTTTTATAAGAAGAACTATTAAGAAATATTAAATCATTTTACCAATGTCGTTCTTACCTTAAGTTATGAACAATGAGCCCTGTTTTAATTACGTCATTACAGCTAACACATTATAGACTGTTTAATTACATTTTAACAGGCTTTACAGTATTATTGTTTAGGTCTTTTCTAAACAACCCTTTATCTTCTGTGTGAAAAGTACTCAGTACAGTTGTCCTGATCTTATTTTCACTCTTTGTTGGCTATTTGTGTTACATTACGATGTTGTCAACTGTTTATTGTATTGCATGTAAATATCATTATAAAATCCTACTGTCACTGTGTATACTGTACATATTTTAATTTTGGGTCATCCATTTTGGCACAAACTGCCTTATTTCTAATGGAATATAAACTTGCTACAAATCGTACTGCAAAGTATATGAGTTAGGTTTTGACAAGAAATGGATTAGTCCAAACTGGCACAACTGAATATTATGCTGGATTAGCATGATAGCTACGGTTGTCTTATGGAGACATATGACTGGGAGGATGTTGTGATCTTGACAAGCAAAAATAACAGATCCCTCCACCTTGTGGTTTTGCTAGGTAATGTACAGAAACATAGACATGGTCGTCCAACTGACATGTGGACAAATGAAAATTCTATGAATCTAAATTAGTGATTTATTTATGCCAGCAACCACTAAAACAGATTTTTTTTTTAAATGGAACACTTCATCCACTATGATTTCATGAGCCATTTAGCCTCGGCTACATGACTGAAATATTTCACACATCCTACGGCACATAAAGACCAGTTTGTGTCCCGGCTTGAACAGATGGCCTTTCTGTGTGGAATCTGCATGTTCTCTCCTTGTGTGTGTGGGTTCTCCCCAGGAACTCTGCCCTCTTCCCACAGTCAAAAACATGTCAATTAGAGATTCAGTTAATTGGAGACTTGGCCGTAGGTGTTAATGTGAGTGTTAACTGTGGTGTGCGTGGATTTGTGGCCCTGTAATGGAGCAGGGGCCCGTCCAGAGTTGATTTACTCCTCAGGGCTAGCTTCAGCTTCCCCTACAGGACAGGGATGGATGAATGGGTTCAGTGAATAATGTATGAGCTGCAAGTACAGAACTTTTCTTTGCTCTTCAAGGATTCACAATCCTTGAAGTTATTTTTGGGTCCTCTGAATGCCTTGACCTGGGGTTCCTCCCACTTTCATTTCTTTTGGAGTTGGGTTTCCCCTTTGGGACAGTATATCTAAATTACTGTTTGTGGAAAATACATTAAAATATGTTCTTTTAACAGTGTCCAAGTTGATGGCATCTTAATAGTTCAGATTTGTTAGACCGTTTCCTAGACAATCTCTTCATGGAAAACATGAGCAGTACAGATGTTCCCTCTCGTCTAACCTTGACTTTATGGTCCTTTTTTATACGGTGCAGTATAAGGCCAGAAGTTCCAGAGACGAATCGTAACTGACAAATAGTAGCTGCTCTATAAAAAGAAACGTGGGACTTTTGCTGGTACCATGTCAATCTCATCATGTATTATTTGTTTACAACCGTTCTTTGATCTAAAGCATGGGGCGAGGTCCTGTAGGGGGCAGGTTTTGGAATCAGGTGTCTCTAATGTGAAACGTGTTTGGATAAAAGATGCAAGGACTTCTAAGGAAGTCAGATGACCAGCTGTTGTTTCCGCTGTTCTACAGCAGCGTCATCCTTACAATGAGATGCAGTTCATGTGAGTGGGAAGACGTTTGCAAATTCTCTGCTTTACAGATTCTCAGGAACCGCAGTCTTTCTCATCAGTCCTGTTTTCCTCCTAAGAGCCAGATAGTTTCACCTCCTGCATCACTGTGTCTGTTCCCATCATTCAGGGTACATGTGGGTGACTCAGAGTGTTTGTGTGTGTGTGTGTGTGTGTGTGTGTGTGTGAATGTGTTATTGTTCCACTGTTTTCATAATAAGTGCTTGTGGTCATAACTGTCTGTGAATGTGAAGGTTGTTGCTCTTTGTGACTCCAGTTGACTGTGGGAGAGCCGAACCAGGCGGACGTTTCTTTGGAACAAATTTTACACTTTAAATGACTTTAGTAAGTCAGCTTTATAACAGTGTTGAAAAACAGTTTTCACCTAAACAGGTGCTTGTGTTTTCTCTCAATTTTTATAATAAAATAATTTAAGGCTATCTCTGTTATCCTGTTGTCCTTTAAAATGAACTATTCTATAATATTTGGTAATATTTGACTCTTATTGAATCATTGAGTAGGTCTGAAAAATATTGAGAGATGACTGGTTAGAGCAAACTAAATGTTGGAAGCTGCTTGGTGAAGGACCTGTATTTTTGAATAGCTGCAGTTTGCAAACATGCAGTGAATCTGAAATTTGTAAATAAATGTTTACATGTTCCTAAAAGACCCAGAAATACAAAAGAACATTCAAAGATAAACAGCAGATGTAGACCGGAGCCTGTGGAGTCTGAACACAAAAAAAAACATCTTTCTCAGAGGCTTTGTTTCAGATTAGGGGCTGATTAGTCCGCAGAGTGATGTAAACCATAGTCAGCTGTGTGCAAGATGTTGACTGTGTTCTGTGCAGGTATCCTCGTTATGGAGTAACATGGTACCTAATAATGTCTTCTGTTACCCAGTTACACATATAATGAAGGATAACAAATAAACGTTGAAGAACACTGCTACCACGGCTCAGCACATTGGCTGACGAGCTCAGGAAGGACGTACATTACCCACAAGAGAAAAGTTGATTCTTTTCATCATTTGATGACAACAAAAAAAACCTGTTCAACTGGACTTTCAAATACCACCGGACAGTAGTGTATAGTCAGGATGATGAAACATGAAACACTGGAATGATTAGAGAAAATGAGGGAACATTAGAACAAAAACACATGTGAGTTATGTTCTTTTGTGAGAGCATGTCCTTATAAGTACACACTGTTGACTCTCTCTCTCTCTTTCCATGTACTTCAGAACACTCTCCAGTGTTTTCCCCTGGGTGTTAAGTCATCTTTGGAACAGCAGGTGGCGGAGCTGAAGGTGAACGCTGAGGTCAAATCAACAGAACCTCCGACTGATCTGGACGACAAGAGGCTAAGTTCGGGTAAAGCAATCTGCCGACCGATGGGTGCACTACATCTATGAGTGCTGGCTGCTGTATCTGCTTATTTTAAATGAGAAAAGTCATGAAGGTGGTTGACAGAAATGCAAAAAAGAATCTATGACCGGTGATGGAAAGAACAACTCGAAAAATGTCTTTTCTTTGAAAAATACAGATCAGTAGACAGAAACTTTAGGCTGAGTCACAACTGAAGAATCCCAGGGTCGGAACAGATACAGGGAGTAGCCTGTGATGTTTTTCATTAGGAGCATACCAACACATTATTTTTGCATGAATATATCTATGCAGGAGTCAAAACGAGGATGACATCGTTTTAAACCTCAGGTGGATTACATTTTTCACACTTTTTTTTGTTTCTTCAATATGGCCAAGTAAAATACTGCAAACATTTTGTTAACATAAAATTCCATGCTCTGCTGTTGTTTTTGAAATTGAGCTCAGTTAGCTAATATACTGTAGTATTCTCAGACTTGTCTGTGCAGTAGCTGTACTGCAGTAATTAGCCAGAATTGACATGATTTAGTAATAATGTGAGCAAAAACAAGTCGTCATGTATAGGTATCTGCCTGAACAGCTCAGAAACAGCTCTGGGAGGATTAAGATCAAGCTGCACTGCAACCTTCTAATGAGCCACTCTTTATTATATATTTATGTACAATATAATTTTTTTAAATATGTCATTTTTCAGAATATAAGATAACACCCAAAAACTTCTCTTTCTTATTGCAGTGTAATAAAATGTACATGTGACCTCATTTCTTCCCCAGTGCTGTAGCCTGGGGCCATAAAACATGTCATTTAGCGTCTGGTAAACAAACATTAGTCAGAAAAATCAGTGACATGCTTCAGTTGGAGAGGCACCATCCCTCAGATCTGAGTCCATATGTTAATAAAGTGGCTCGCTTTTCAATAGGATTCAAACTGACAAGCCTTCCAGTCTGGTGTACCACAGAGGCGCTAATCTCAGTGTGCTGGTTACACAAAACATAGCTTGAGTGGAGTTTGGCAAGACCGCAGCTGGATTGTAAAGTGTGTTTGTGTACACTGTAAAAAACAAGTTTGTGCTTTGTGACTAATTGAGGGAATGTAAACTTACAGTAGTGTTTGTTTTGCTAGCTGCACTGAGCACACAGGCTGGTGATGTTTTACATCAGACCTGTCCAACATCTGACCTTAGGGTCAATGTTGGCCTTTAAACCACTTTTCCTGGATCAACAAGCTCTGGGTTTGAAGACCTGTTTATTTCTCACCAGTGTGATCAAACAGACATCATTAATCATAGAGTCAGAGATGATAAAATGATTTAATGTATTTGTAATGGATAATTACAGTTCAGTGTATACATTTACTGACTCAACTGGAATACTGACTATGTTTTTGTTTTTTTTCCAGGAGAAGTTTTGGAGACTAGCCAAACTGCTGCTCCAGAATCAAAGTACTTGCGCTCCCACTCAGCCCCTGAGGGGTCCAGAGAGACGGGGACAGGAGAGTCCTGGCAGTCCTTTCCAACAAGACAGTTGTCTGTGACCGATGCCATAAGAGAGATGAGAGATGTTGATCTCATCCTTGAAGATTATCAACAAGCTCAAAAGGTAGAGACTTATATTCTGGGATTAATCCAGCGACGAGCTTTACCCACGCGCCCCTCCAAGCCCCGCACCAGCCTGGCTCATGATGCCCGAGCTGTGACTCTGGTGCGACAGAGCAGTTTATGTCACAAGGAGGAACACCATTCCACAAAGCAGGCGTCTGCTCAACTGATGTCACCTCCAACCCAGTGTTCTGATGGAAATGCTCCACAGGTCTGCCACAGCCCAAATCAAGAGCGTTATCATGGGACAGAGTTTACCGAAGATGCTCCGCCCCCATATCACCACCTTCAAAAGGTCCAGCATCAGACAGGGTTTTATCCCAAGCCCAGACAGGCCTCTGGAGTTACCACCTCAGGCTCAGCCTCACCAGAATACCCATCTCACGTTGTGCTGCAAGGCCATCAAGACTCCAGCAACAGTGAAAATGATTCCCTACAACATTTCCACAACTACCACGTCCACGCAGCTCAGACAAAGGCTCAGCATCCCACTTCTCCCGATGAACAGTTAGTTAATGCAGAGTATATTCCGGCCCAGCCCTGCCAGGCGTCCGCCAGAGCCTATGCTCATCATCACTCCAATCCCCACAAAAGCGCTGGGCATCCCAAAGCCAACAGACATGCCTTTTCCCCAGAAAGAAGTCATCATCACGAGGAACAGCAACCAACAGCGTCCCACAGCCAACCTGCCAAATGTCGAGGCGGTCCAAAGAAATGTCGTTTGAACGAAGAGAAAAGTGGTGGCAGTAAGAAGCCAGGGAAGAAGGCGTGTAGGTCTCAGTCAGAGAACAGTCTACAGAGGGTTCCAGAGCGCAAGTACAACACCGTGGAAAGGGACGGCGGAGGAAGCGGAAGTGGTGGAAAGGGAGGTCGCAGTAGCCAATCCAAGAGCAAGAAACAACCGCAGGGAAGTGGAAACTACCGACGCTGGCAGTCCACGCTGGAGCTCAGCCAGGACGAGGCCGAGCAGCCTCCAGTTACAGCAGCACCCGTTCAGGCTTCAAACCAAAGAGATCACTGTGCAAGGCGCACACGCAAGTCACGTTCTTCCAACCCGACATACGTGTACCCACACCGCAGCCACAATCACCACCATCACCACCAGCAGCAGCCCCACCACAGCTCCCACCATCATCAGCATGTGGAGTATCACATAGAGAGGGATCAGGTGCAGGTGTGTAAACCCAGCGAGGACTACACCCACCAAGGACCAGGTGAGTCTGAGTCCAGCACCAGTGAGGCCGACTCCCCAGACTCCAGCTCCTTGTCCAGTGACTCAGATGAAAGCGGAGGTCTGGTTTGGCCCCAACAACTGCCCCCTCAACTCTCCTTGCCCTCACCTCCTGCCCCGTCTGGAGCACCGATGCAGCCCAAAGCTTTTGTCAAGATTAAGGCGTCCCATGCCCTTAAAAAGAAGATCCTGCGCTTCCGCACTGGTTCGCTGAAAGTGATGACGACCGTATGAGGTGGAAAAATGGACAAACCAACGAGACAAACTGTGAACGTATGAGTTGTCATCCATACATTTGACTCAGCCTTATAAAGGAATCTGCATGATCATTTCAACAATATGGTATTAATTTTGTGAAATTAGTTTAACACAGTCTGGAAGACAACCAAAGAGCAGCACACACTGATCAGTTCTGTCATAATTATATGCCACAATATAGAATCTAGCAGAACTGAACATATGGGAGATACTCGATACTTTGACATCGTGTCAAAGGTTACAGTAGTTTGTGAGCTTTATTTAAACGCCTCTTCCAACCAACAGTTGTTATGTGGAACATCATTTTGGACTTTAAGCGAACCTTGAATGATACTTGAAGATGTAGTACAGTACAATGGTGTTGCTGACAGAATTCCAACTGAAAACCATTCACTTTTATATTCCATTTAATTGGCAGTTGCCAATTTAGGAATCCAAAATACCAGCTCTCACAGACCCAGTGCTGAAGAAACAAGTTACTCTTAGTCTGAGTTTGTAAACTAAAGTTCAGTACTTGGTCTCATTCAAAATAGGAAATTATGCCAAACCTCACAGACGTATCACAACACGATGTGGTAGGTTTACTATTTTATTTGTCAGTGATCTCACACTTGAAATATGATATGAGCAGAGCATTGGTTAGTTTGTTTTAACTTTAACTTTAACACAAGCCTCTTTAGCTGAGACCTAATTTGTTTCACACTTGTTTACAGTGCTTTGGCATTCACGTTCATGTTTTATACGATAGTGTTATTCAGTTAGTTAGATGATTGTACGTGAGAGGAATGATGGGTGATGAGAGTATTGTACTGGCTGAAATGTTGTTGTACTGGGTACAACTTAGAATTCTTACATCAGGTGTGAACCAATTTTTTTTCACAGCAGAACAGTTACTGTTAAGGTCTTAATATAGCAATGCTGATATTGTGAATTGAACTTGACGAGTCAATTTTGCCATATTCGTTTAACTTGTTCAACTTGTACTTCTTTCCAGAAAAGATCTAGAGAAAAAGTAACAACTCAGTTTGGTTGTTTTATCCACACTAACCTTTGATTCCATCTGAATCTGAAAAGATGTTTGACCCAACGTCTGCTGCAACACTGCAATGCAAAACATGAGAAGACGATAGAGCTGGGATGAGTGTTGTTAACCAATCTGACTTCAGGCCTGGTCTCTAGTTCAGCTCTGGACTCAGCTCTTGACAAAGATAAAATCTTTCTTGTTATTCTTTATTTCATAAATCAAAGACACACACAGAGTCTTGTGTTTTTAAGGCTTTGTTTTTTGAAAGGATTGCGTTGGTGTGACTGCAGCTCAGGTCAAGTTAGACCTATTTTGGTTATTTTTACAAAGCACATTTCCCAGCATTTCTTTTTTTTTTTTTTTGTCATCAGTCTATTCATTTGAATCCAGATCAAAGAATGTCAACATTGTCAGATCAAAACAAATCCAATGGTGAAAGCATGCAAGTCTATGAACGTCAGCCATGCCAAAGAAAACAGACCATGAAATCAGACATTTTTATCATAACATTATGTCTGCATTATGTCTAAGTATGTAAGAATATAAAGGACCGTTCTGGGGCCGATGGGCCACGGCTGTGTGGCCTGTTCAGCAACCAAAGGTAGTTAACAGATTATTAACTTCTCTACTGCACATCTAGTTAATACTGACATCAGACCCATTTAAGATATGGACTCTATATAACAAGAACATATGATCATTAAGATCCAAAAGTCTCATAATTAAAATCTTTACAGTCTATAGTATGATTGGAGGTCTGTGAGGTAACGTGGCTTTTTAAAAATTTGTTAATGTGGTCTGCTCTCTGTCATTTAATTAAAAGTAAACAATGTTATTTTTAAAGGTAATTGGAGTCGTATTTAGAGATAAAGAATAACACAGTATGACGTGACAGGAGACGATGTTGGTTTAGTATAAAAGTGTCATTGTATCATCAATAACCTGCAGCATCTTTTAAAAACTGTACAAAAGCAAAGATTTGATACTCATTTAAACCATTTATATTCCCAACACGTTGTATAAAGTGTCTAAGATTCAAGCGTAACATTTCTAACCTTTGTGATGTCCTATGAAAAGTAAAAAAAAGTAAGAAAAATCGTTCTTCTGGGATCTAAAATGACTTGGCCTGGTTGAGTCATCTCTATAAAGCATTTCTAACTTAATCTATTCTGTGTTGTACTCTTCTAACGTCAGTCACAGCAATTACAAATGTTCCATTACAGAATGATCTCTTCTTTTTGGAATCTCAGGTTAATACAAAAGGACAGCTGAAAGAGTAACATGAAACATTTCATGTTCAAGAATCATAACCCACAGACCTTGACCTTAAGGTGCTTTCACTGCTTGTACCTGACAGCTCATTCTGGACCTCACACGTTCCCATTTGGCAAGACATTATCTGCACAAATGCATTTTTTCCCTCTAATCTGTGAGAATGAACGATAACCACGTTAAAAGACAGAAAGTCCTTGCTTGAACTTCAATTGTTCCACTGAAAATTCTAGATTCCCAATTCTTCAGGCCTCTCTGTGAGACTTTGTTTTATTTTGTTTTGGGTTGTTTTTTTTTCTTGGCAATGAAAAAAAGTCATGTTTAAATTCTATTGCCGATTAGTCAAACTCATCCTGCATGTTTAAAATGAATGTTTTCATTGTCAAAGAACGATCCTTTATTTCTCTGCTCCACAGGGTCTCTCTTCTCTTTTGTGTTTTCTTTCTCCCCGGCTCCAGCGTTTGCACATTGGAACCATCTTGTTTTAAAGTCTAAAAGCCTTCCATGTCATATATTTTCTTCATGAACATATGGTCCAGCATTACATTGTATGTGGGAGAAACGTTTTATGATGACTTCTGTTTGTTAGAGGGAGGAAATCTGAAGGAGGGAGTTGGGAGTGAAACACAAAGCACATGTGGATTTGTGGTGGAGAAGATTCTGAGATGATGAAAAACTGAACGAACATTTATATTTTTTACTGTTGTCGTGGACAAAATCCAGTAAAGATGCTTTAATCGCTTTCTTTGAACAAACGTTGGAGCATTGTGTATAAAATGTAAAGTTGCTTTTGTTTCACCAGTAGACTGATACATTGTTGCCAGACCAATAATGTATTTATTTTACAAAGTCACTTTAAGTGTTTGACAGTATTTATCATTGTAAAATGCACAGGCCAACTCACTATCTGCTTATATTTGTATGATATTTGTTTGACAACATGCAGTACAACACATGTTTAAAAAAAAAAAAAACAAATAAAAAAAAAGTCGCCCAAATATTTGTACTTTTGTGTTTTCTCAGCTTCATCAGTGGGGGATTGTTGAGCGTATCACATGGTGTCACCAGCTAAGTGTCAACAAATGGCCTGGCTATGTAAATGTCCCCGGGCAGACCACACACCGTGACACAGGTAGAGAAAACACTCAAACACACCCGTGCACGCAGGGACTGAGAGGGAGAGGGAGAGGGAGAGGGAGAGGGAGAGGGAGAGGGAGTGAGGGAGTGAGGGAGTGAGGGGGAGGTGTTCTACGGAGGAGCAACGTTGTGTCAACGTTAACAATCACAGCTAAAACAATCAAAACAGTCATCTAATGTTCATTATTATCCCTACAATAAAAAAAGTGACAATTGTGATACAAAATGATGATGTTATTGAAGGGAGTTTAATTATCAATTAATCAATTAAGCAATCAAAGTACATTTACAGGTTAAAACTAAATGAATCTGTGAGTCCTCTCTTAAACTTCCTGCTGTTCAGATTGTCAGGGCTAAGACTGTGTTTGGAAACACTAGGCTTGACGGCTGGATCTTTAAACCATCACCATTGCAGACAGTGACTCAGCAGAAGTTCATGTCACATTATTGTTTCAACAACCTGCCACCAACTCACCAAGTGCGTACACACTGTTTGGCCCAAAGAAATGCACAGTAAACAGATCAGTGGCGTTCTTAGATTAGCAAGTTTATATGTCAAAAATATGGGGGTGTTTGGACGCCTATTGTTGAAGTAGTTCATTTAATATAAAGCATTAACATACACCTAAATGTAATAATACTGCAATCAGAATGAGAACATGATTATCATCATCCTCACTACTTTGTCCTTGTAAATAAAAGTCCACCATGATTATGTCCAGTGTGAAGTTCTTAGTCTCCAGTTCTAAGCCCACCCTTGTTATTGACAGCTACTAGTGATTAAAAGTCAGTTCATAAAGAGCTATCTCCAATAAAAACCCTTTTGTCTGTTAAAGTAATTGAGCTCATTTACTGCACCACACACATACATACTGTATAACCGGAGCTAATAAGGGGTCCACTGAGACGTGTAGGTGTGTGTGTGAGAACCCGTGCGTGTGTTTGTGTGTGTGTGTCTCCAGACGTGCACACAGTGCAACAGTGCAAGGGGATTTCAATGGGTTGAGCTGTTTTATGACAGGATTTGGTTCCAGCTGCCTCAGTTCATTAAAGTAGAGAAGAGGGAGAGAAGGGAGGGGAGAGGAGGACAAGAAGTTAGAGGAGATAGGGTTCATGTGTACAGCTCAGCTCCACAGAGAACCCCCCCCCCCTTCCTTCTGCAACATTTGAAGCTCTTCATCATCTTATCTGCCCCCCTGTAACTGACATTTTCCCAGCCGCCATCACTTCACTCTCATGTCTTTCCACTTCCATCCTTCATCCCTCCATCTGTAAGTGGTTAGAAGAAACATGTTCCCTTCAGGGCCAGGAACCTGGAGTATTTCCTGCTTTGCCAGTGAGTCGGGGATGGGGGAGGGCAAAGAGGTGAGGGGGGAGACAGAGAGGCAGTGAGCCCGAGGAGGAAGCCCACACTGAGAAGCAGAAACAGAGACAGTGAGAGACCTGGAGAAGCCGAGGGGAGAGAGGAGGCGGAGGAGGCTGAATGAAGGCCTCGTGCACATACATCTGGCTTTGATTAGCCAGACACAGAGGGTGATAGTGAGAAAGAGGAGACAGAGAGGCCTTTATTTTTTTGGCACTTTTGGAGATACAGTGGTACTGACCTATTTTTCCTGCTCCATTTTTCTGATTTTTATTAATTCAACTCACATCATTACCGTATCGAATTTCTGGAACCAGATTTCGACATAGGCTGCCGCTGCGGCCGCAGACA